AACTCAGGCCCCTTTATTCCACTGAGCCATCTCCCCAGCCCCTTTCTAAGGATTTTCTTTCTTTTTCTCTTTCTTTCTTTCTTTCTTTCTTTCTTTCTTTCTTTCTTTCTTTCTTTCTCCTTCCTTCCTTCCTTCCTTCCTTCCTTCCTTCCTTCCTTCCTTTTTTGTATTTGGTACATGGTCTCACTATGCAGCTCAGACTTGTAATGATCCTCCTGTTTGCAGCCTCCTCAGTGCTGGGATTATAGATGTGCACCACAATACCCAGACTCGATGGCTGGCTCAACCTGGGAGCAGTGCCGGGAACCAGGGATCAAGCCCCAGTCCCTACACTTGGCTAAGCAGGCGCTTAGTTCGCTGAGCTATCTTGCCGGCTCTTGTTTCCTTATTTTCTTCTCTGTGTTGCAGACTATCTCCTCAACTTCTCTGGAGCTTTTAATTTTCTTGTTAGCCCCTTTCTGATTCCTGGCCCTATCCTCACTTCTGAAAATTATGTAGTTGTAGTGTTACTCCAGTAACCCAAAGACTTTTCTTCCTTACTCGACCAAAACATCAGCCAGGTTTTTGCAGTCCTCTACTTGACTGGACCTGACCATGATCTCTTCCAGTGTGTTGATTCGTTTGATTTTTTGAGACAGGGTCTCACTATGTAGCCCAGGCTGGTCTTGAACTTGCTGTACTCTTGCCTCGGCCTCCTGAGTGCTGGGATTTCAGGCCTGTGCCACTATGTCTGACTGTGGTGACATCTTGAAAAATGTATTTTAGTATAAGGAGGTAGTTATATTTAAAATCAGCTAGGAATGGAAGAATTACATGAGATAAATTAGTCACTTCAAAAATTATATTCCTGTTTCATATTAAATTAGATTTCAGTTGAATTAAATACTTGTGTAGGATGCTATGAAAGAACTAGAATAAACCTACATAAATATTTAATCTTAACATGGGAAAGAACTTAAGTAGATGCTGAAAGGAAGATTAATAGATTTTATTACTGCTACATTTAAAACACATCAGAAACCCCTGAAACTAAATTAAAAATAAGTCTAGGAAAATGTTTACAACATGTTCTATAAAAACACTAATTCTGTAATTCATAGAACCTGAAAGAAAATCCTGGTAGAGTCTTGGACAAAGGATATAATGTGTGTGTCTGCAAAGCACAGTGAGGCAGTGGCTCAGCAGTGTGTGCCAAGTTTATCCTCCTCTCCTGTCAGAATAGGTTTTACCCGTACCAACTCTGAGGAGTGGGTGTGCTGGACCAAGTTGTAGCAACTGCTGTTTCAGTCGCCTTTCTATTGCGAGGACAAAATAGCTGACACCTGCAGCATAGAGAGGAAGCGTTTATTTTGGTTCACAGTTTCTGCCACAGGGATTCCTGTCCTCTCTTCTCTCCTGGTACATTTGAGCTAAAAGTCTCAAAGTAGATGCTTTTAGAGTGAGAGTGCAAAGAAAAGTGTTTGTTCAACCAGTTTGTTGTCTTAATTCGAGTTGCCATCTGTGGGCCTGAGACCTGAGTGTCCTTCCTAGATTCTGTGTGTGTCCCCTGTCCCTTCTTAGACATGCTTTGAAAAATGAACCCCACAGCACAGGTGAGTGGTTCCTGAAATAGTAACAGCAGATGTGGGCCTTGTAGGACTGCATAGTATCCACTTTGAAAACAGTAAGTAGCATTTTTGCAGATATGACCATTCTGTGTACTATCGGTGCAGGTTTAATGACAGTTGTAATCTGTCCCTGCCAGATTGTTGTTAAATTTACTGCCTCAGGGGAATAAAAACAGCACGGGCGCCTTTGTGCTTTCAGTGTGGGCTGGTGCTGTGTGAAGGCCCAGTGGGCCACCAGTTCACCAGAGCCTCGGGGAAGTCAGGAAGCCGCAGGGAGGGCCCATGCCTTCCTCCAGCTGAGCTTTGCTCTGCACTTCGTTAGGATGTGACGGGGTGTGTCCTTAGGAGCGCACTTTGCCCTGCTGCTGATGGAGCTGATAATTCTATCTCCTCGATTGGAACTGTGGCCAGGAGCAATTAAGCTTAGCTTTTAGCACCACTCTTCTTGCCAGCCTTACTTCTAGCTGTAAGTGCAGAGTGAGGCCAAGTGGAAGATTAGCCACATCGATGTGACTGTGTGCCCATATCTTGGTGATGAAGTCTACCCAGAAGTAGCTGCCTCACTGGCCACATGGGAGGTCACCATCTGTCACTGCCTCCTGGGTAACAGCACAGCTTGGTCAGGGCTGTGAGACTCAGGGAAAAGGGACTTATGCAGCCTGCCCAGGTTCCCACCCCGTGACCCCACATGGCGGTAGTTCAGGGACACGGGTTGTAGGCCAGCCCCTGGTCCCGCCAATGTCCAGATCTAGCTGTGTGATCTGAGGCCACTGGTTTTGTGTTTCTGTAAAGAGGATTATCCTAGGAGCTGCCCTGTCTGGATGGCCTTACTATAGTATCGGGCACCCAGAAACCTTTCAGTACTCAGTCCTGCTGTGTGTACTTCCCTGGGTGTAGTTTTGATTTTTGCTTTTGAAAAGTAATTTCCTTTTTATTATGCACCTTCTGATCCTTGTGTTAGCATGTGTGTATATGTGCAAGCAGGGGTTTTTCCATCTGGATTTTAGTTAATTCATAGTTGTAAATATACTGTATGGTATGTTGTCTCTGACCTTTGCCCCTTTACACAGTGTGAGTTTTTTCTATTAAAACGTGTATTCTTTGGGCTTTCTTGCTTTAGTTAGGAAAATGTAGTACAAGTATTGACATAAGTATCAAGAAATGCTAGGCGATGAGGAGCAGTGTCTTCCCCCAGGATACCACCCCCAGTGGGGCCAGAGGCTGGTTCCAGATCTAGTATGGTGGGCTAATTAGGTGGGTGAATGTGTATAATTAGTTTTGATGTTGGAGCTTCATTGTTTCGAAACACAGATAAAAACCAAGTGTAATTACGTGTACCTTTAATCCTAGCACTCTGGGAAACTGAGGCAGGAAGATCAAAAGCTGCAGCCCAACTGAGTAGGTTAGCAACCTAGGAAGACCATTTTTTAAAATTTAGAAAATAATTTTTTGGGAGCTGGGGAGATGGCTCAGCAGAATAAGTGCTTGCCTGACAAGCACAAGGGCCTGCGTTCAATCCCTGGTTCCACAAAAAA